GCCCCGCTGCCGCCCACCCCCCCCTGTGGCTCTCGCGAGAACGGGCGGCAGCGGGAGAGGCCGCGTCGTCGTCAGCCGAGGGTGTCGTGTCTCTGTCCCCGCCCGCAGCACCGCGCCCCTCGGGAAGCCGAACGGAGTCGCCACGTCGCTGTCCCGGAGAGAGCGCTCCGGCCCCGACCCCCTTTTCCCGTCAGCATTGCCGGGGGGGGCTTATCCTCCGCCCCCAGCGTACTGCTCCCGCCGCCCTGTGCACGCTCAGAAGGGGCAGGCCCAGGCCAGCTCCGCTTCCCGGCTCCCCGCCGAAGAAGGTAACGTGCTGGCGGGGAGGCTCAGCACCACCCCAGTGCTGCTGTCCCAACTGTCCAAAAGTCATGAATCAAGCGCAACGCGATCAATAGGCTCAGAAATCCCGCCATGAGAAAGAGATTCCTGCTTTCTCGGCCGAGTCGTTCGGAAGAAGCCGCCCACCCCAGGGAGGGTGATTATTTCAGGTGCAAAATTCATCCTTAAAACCACACAACATGGCGCTTGGGGGCCTGTCGCGTAGGGGCGTCCTTAATTCACTCGCAGGCTGGACTCGGGTTGGAGAGTTGACCTTTTCCACCCACCCCCCCTTCAGTCTGTCTTCCTCCCCCAAACCGGTTCCTGTTTCTCTCTGACCCATCTGCTCCCAACCCCTACTCAGTGTCCCTCCTCATGCTTCTCCACAGTTACTTTATCACGTGTCCCTTTCCTCTTACCAGCTCCTGCCCCCTCATGTTGGCTCTGCTTCTTTAGCACGTTACAAGCCCCTCGGTCTCTTCCAGTCTGTCTGAGCTGATCAAATATTTTTGAAATTCAAAAATGACCAAAAACAAATTTCATGATGTTTGTTTTTTCAACCAGCTCTACCATCCAGATTCCTAAGCAGAGAGCCCAGAGGGTGGCAGTGTTCTCTGCAGGCAGTCTAACTTCAGTCCCTTGGGGTACTAGAGGAGATAGCCCTGATCCCAGGAAGACTCACTTCTTTCTGCAAGAACAAGACAGAACTCTGTAGCACTTCAAAGCTGCATGGAGAGGGCTGCTGTTTTAACTGATGTCAGACTTTCATTTTGTACTGTTGTCCTATTGAAAGGTAATAGGGGATGGTAGCCATTGTAACTAAGGGCAAAAGTTCACAAGATTTGTAACTTCTGGGGACTGAGAAGCTGTGAGTGAAGCATAAAATCATGGTGCTCAGAATAATATTGAGAGAGCTGGCTACTTTGACATCTTTCCTATTCCCAACATCATCACACCATAGGATTGCCACGTGTCCAGATTTTAACCAAAAGTGCAGTAAAAAGGGGAACTCTATGCTGTCCAGTCAGAAGTACTGATGGCACCAAAGTTCACCTACCGGGGCACTGGAAGAGGGATGTTGCTTCCTGTAAATGCCATCCCCAACCTGTCCCTAGTCAGTCTGGCCTAGGATTTTGGAGGGAGGCAAAGTAGATGGAGGTGGAGGGATCAGCACTGGATCATAAATCTGAGCCAAGGCCATCTCTTACCCGCATCTCATGGTCAGGCAGGTAAGCAGGCTCTCATTCAGCTGCAAGCCTGATTATCCATGCCAAAGGTGAGTCCTGAGAGATAGGGGAGACAGTAACCAGCAGAGGTGGGAGGGATTGAGCAGTGGAGTGGAGGGTTGTAGTGTCCACTTTTAAGAAACTGGAAAGTTGACAAGCCTACTTGTGAGTCACAACCTCTGCAATAGTCAGGACTGCTTTGACTTTGTTCTAATTGAGCCATGATGTGCAGAGTGATAGGTGGTATCTAAGTAGTATCAGAGTGTGGCAACCTCTGCATCAGGAGTTATGCCTAACTTGTTTGTACCTGTAAATAAAGTGGTGTCTTGGAGGGGCAGTCTTTGTTGAGTCTAGGGGTCAGTGGGATCTCCCACTGACTGAGCTGAGTCCATTGTTACAAGTACATACGTGTAGTGGTTCGGTAGAGTCTCCTGAAAACTATTACTGTACTGTATTTTGCTTAATAATAAACCTGGCCAGGCACCTTCAATCCTTATGTGATTTGTGGTGTTTGGGGACTCTCTCAGAGTCTGCTGTGTTGATTGAGCACACATGCATGCAGTCTTCTGATTATCATCATTGATGGAGCAAGAGACTTGCCAGGATACCACACCAGTAAATCCTACTGCAGTCTTCATTAAAAAAAGGTTAATCGTGACCAGATACTTGATACAATTAACATTAATAACTATGGGGATAGAACACCAGCCAGAATAAGTAAAGAACAGGTAAAATATCTAGATAATTTAGATCAGGGGTTTTCAAACTCTGGGTCATGGCTTGTAATGGCAAGCTGGCTGAGAGACGCTTTTTTTTTTTTTACCTGTTCCTCCTCAGGTATGAGTGATTGCAGCTCCCATTGGTCAGTTAGAACTGTGGCCATGGCCAATGGGAACTGCAATTGTCTGCACCTGCAGAGGCAAAAGTAAACAAAGCCTCTCACAACTAGCTACTGGCTTGCCCTTACAAGCCATGATCCCTGAGGTAGATGACTTCAAGTTGACAGGGCATGATAAAATCCACCCCAGCCTTTTTAAGGAATGAATTAAAGCAGTCTCAGAAACACTTAGAAATTGTCTTTGAGAATTCATGGAAGATGGGTAACTCCCAGAGGACTGGAGAAGTGCAAACATAACACCTATATTTAAAAAGAGAACATAAAAAGACCTGGAGAATTACAGACCAGTTAGCCTAATGTTGATACCTGGAACAAATTATTCAATTTGTGTTATTTGTGAGCATCTACTGGGTAACAAGTTGAGATAAATAATAGCCAACGTATATTTCTCAAAAACAGATCATGCCGACCTAATTTCTTTCTTTGATATAGTTACTGGCCTAACAGATGGAAGGAAGCAGTAGTTGTAATATCTTGATTTTAGTAAGGCTTTTAACACAGTCCCACATGACATTCTCCCAAACTAGGGAGATATGGTCTAGCAGAAAGTATTATATGGTGGATGCTAGCAATGTAAGTGGTTAACTGGGTGAAGCTTACCGGTTCTGGTTAACTGGTAGGGGCACGAGTGTCATATGCAAAACATGGAGAGTAACTGTTCCACTGTACTAAGTAGGGATGTTAAATATCGGTTAATTGAATAATTGATTAGCCTCGTGAATTCTTATCGGTTAGTCAACTATTCTACAGTCTCGGACAGCCCCTGTCTGGAGTAGGAGGGGTCTGAGCTCCTGGATCCGGCACGAGCAAGAACTGACCTGACTGCCTGCCCGCCTGGCTTCTAATACATATTAAATGCAGAGGCGCAGCGAGGGTAGGTCCAGGACCCAGTGCAAATGGGGACTGAGCCAGGCTGCTAGCCAGGTCACGTTTAGTCTTGAGAAAAAAAAGACTGATGCGGGACCTGAAAACAGTATTCAGTAATATAAAAGTTATTAAAAGGATGGTGATCAGTTCTCAATGAGCTCTGAAGGCAGGACAAGAAGTAATCAGCTTAATCTTCAGCAAGGAAAATTTAGATTAAATATTGGGGGGGAAATTCCAACTATAGGGACTCAACTATAGTTAAGTTCTGGATTGGGCTCTTAAGGAGGTTGTGGAATCTGTCATTGGAGGTTTTAAAGACTTCGTTAGACAAACGTATCTCAGGAATAGTCTAGGTATACCTGGTATGCCTCAACACTGGCAGATAGACTAGATGATCACTCAAGGTTCCTCCCAACCCTACATTTCTATGATTTTCATTCTCCTGTGCTAATTGTACTTTTGTACCAAACATTTCTCTTCTTCCTTATAGTTTCTTAACTTCAGCATTACAGCATACCTGCCTCCTTCTTCCTTGTATTGGCTCCTTCGCTCTCCTTCCTTCTGTGATTGGTCTCCTTCGCTTTTTCTTTCTAATTAGCTAATCCCCCTCCTAATTAATCCCATTCGTACAAAAAAAGAATTAGCGTGACATTTACTGTCATCACATTGTTCTCTCTGCACATGCATTATATCCGCTGCCTCACCCTGTGTCTTTTGTGACTATTTTGACTACAAACTCTTCAGGGTAGGGATTGTCTTCTACAGGCAGTCCCCGGGTTACG